CTAATACATAGAAACAAACACCCAGAAGCAGCCAAAATGTGGAGGCAAAGAAACATGTCACAAAGGAAAGAACAGAAGAAATCTCTAGAAGAGGAACTAAATGAGATAGAGCCAAGCAAGCCCTGGAGAGAGTTCAGAACAGTGGTTATAAGGATGCTCCAGGACCTCAGTGAGACCATTAAGGAAACTAGTGAGACCATCGGTCACATAATAAAGCACCAGTCAGAAGGGAAGGCCACAGGACTGAGAGGAAGAATAATTTACGGGAATCGAGAGCAGAGTAGAGGACACTGAGAATCCCATCAGCAATTTGGAACATGAGGAACCAGAAAACACCACCCAGAAGAGCAAGAAGAAAAAATCCAGAAACTCGAAGGTGGTAGGAGGGGTCTCCTGGACAACTACAAGGGGCCCTACCTTCCCCTGTAATACTGTGCGAGGGACACAGTGAGAGGAGGTCAGTGTGAGCCAGACACAAGCCTCCCTGAGGGAGTGAGGGGGGCCGGGGAGCAAAAGGTTTGAGGACACCAGGGGGCGCTCAGGGGACAGAGATCAGAGCACCCAGCCCAGGAGCAGGAGCAGGGGAGGTGAAGTCCTCGGTCCCTGTCGACTGAGCAGCTTCCTCTGCTTCTGACATTTGGTCCTGGATCTTGTCCAGAGTCCTGGTCGTGACACAGAACAGAAGACTCAGCACCAAACAGCTGGTCAATCTCGCAGAAGGTGACAGGCCTTGGTGGTCATTATCCCAGCTCCCTGCACACAGTGACAATGCCCTGGGCTCTCTGCACAGCAGGAGGGCCTCCCACCCATAGTGGCTTCAGAAGATGAGTTTGATGATGCCACAGTCACCAGGGGACCAGAGGACCCTCAGTTCCAGCATAATTGAGGACTTGGGAGGTCCCGGCAGGCCCATCAACCAGGAGAAATGACCTCAGAGAGCAGGACAGGGGACTGGCTCAGGGTGTGTTGTGTCAGGGAGTGAGGGATGGTGGGGTCCCTGTGTGGAGCAGGGGCAACCAGAGATGGTTCCCCCTCTGCTCTGTCCCCTCTGCACACCCTCCTGACAGCCTTGTCCCCACTGACCACGTGCAACCTCTGGACTTAATTCCCTCCGGTAGCTCTCTCAGGAACCTCCTCTGTGCGTCTCTATCACGCCCTTTTCTGTGATCATTTCCATTTGATTATATCTCATGTTAAATTTTCTAGGAGCCTAATCTAACTAAACATACTGGCAATATTCTCAAGTAATTAACACTCTAAAGTAGAATTTAATGCATTAATATTCAGACTGAGCCTCAGCCCCAAGCAAGGAAGGCTGCTCTGCCGGGTCAGAGGTGAAGGTCAGTGCTCAGGGACCAGAAGTGGTCCATCCAATGTTGCTCTTGTGTCTCCAGTGCCATCTCTGTT